TTTTTTTTTTGTTGTTTATACTCTTTTTTTTTTTTTGTTTTGTTTTGTTGTCTGTCTTTTTTTTCTTTTTTGTTTTTTTTGTTTTTTTTTTTTTTTTTGGTGGGAGGGGGGGGGGGGGGGGGGGGTGTGGCAGATGTTAGTACCTTTCATGTAGCCTGCTCTTTTGCCAAGCTTTAGACTTTTTGAAAGGCTTACACTCCAAAAAGGTACCCTGTTCAAGACACTATAAAGTAGTGAAATGGTGTAACCTTTTTAGGACTCAAGACCTGAAAACCATAACCTGTTCAGCGGCACTGTTATACCCACTTAGGCCAAAGAAGGGAGTGCCCTCTCTGGCCTCCGCGCAAAGTATGACTTTTATGCATTTAAGTTGGCCAAATCTAGAGGCATATGTTATCCCAGAGGACATGTAGAGTCACTTATCATGTATTTTCTTGATGGTGATTAGTCCAAGTCACTCTCTGCATTGTATTTTCAAAGTCTTTCAAATTTTTAGCATGAAAATCTGCATTGTCAGGTACTAGCAGAATAACAGATTGGAATACCAGATCATTATACGTTTCTGGGAAACTGCCCACCTACCCCTCCCCTAAGCCAAATTTTTACCCTAAGGGATAAGTAAGTGTTAATGTTGGCTTAGGGGAGGGATAGGTGGGCAGTGTCCCAGAAACGTTTATTGATCCATCCTGCTAGTATTAGTGAGGAGGCTGGGAAAGGGTGGGAGGACATAGAGATAAAACCTGTTATTCTCCAAAGAGGATGTTCCTGGCTGTTTACAGCCATTTTGAACATTTTTCTCAGAAGATAAGGTAACATTACAATTAATTAGGGAAAAAAATTGTTGATTTTTTCTTTTGTCTTAAAGTGGTGGGACATTTTGTTTACTGTCCTGTGGTGGGGCAGTAGGTAAATTTCTAATGTTCTTTTTTCTGAAAAAAGAAAATTAACCAACTTTAATATTGTAGTCAATAGCAAAGAAGAGAAAAATCATCTCATCTTGTGTATAATTTTGTTCTTTCTAAAAGAGATACCCTCCCAAAATAAAATTCTTCAAAATGTTGGTCGACTAGAGGCTCATACCTTTAATGCACTTGGTCCTATAATATTATTGCAAATACATTGAGATGTAATTCATCAATCACAACACAACAATGTTTCATCCGATGATCTAGACACTGAGAAGCAGGTTGAAAAGCGACGGACAGCCCTGATTATTAAGACTAGCTTTGAGGTGTCTACTAGATAGATATTGCATGACACCCTGGGTGGCGTGTTTGATATAGATCCTCTCCAATGTTTTCTGGTATTCAAATCACCGTCACGATTTTCATTGATTATTAATGAGTTTAATAACTGTGTATGCAACCCTCAGCCCATGTAGATGGGAAAGTAAAAAGTTAAAGCAACCATATTTTACGTCGATAACTCGTGGCAGTAATAACTGATAAATTTTAGGTCGACAGTGCGCTCATTCCCAAAATGTGATTTTGAAAATTACGAATTACTTCTTTCTGAACATAAATTTTGCACTTAAACTTCAAGTAAAATGTTGAAAAATGATGTGGTAACGTTTGCAGCACATCTGAGCATAACTATCAAAAGTTTCACAAGATGTAAGCAAAAACTAGTTTTAGCCGCCATGTTGGACGGCAAGAGTATGCCCTCCAACATGGCGGCCAATACAAATCATACTACTTTGTTGAAAAATCAAAGTGCCATAAAACATCTCCCTTAAATTCTTTTCCTCTTAAATTTCGGGTGTAAGATAATATTTATGTGCTCTGTCAATTTTTGGCATCAGCAGGATTCCAACTAATTGTTTAAGGGAAGTATTGGTCTCGTGACCTCTTAGTGCAAGTGGCCTGTTCCAAGAGAAACTTGAAAACTTTGGAGGGACAACAAAGAGTATTATGGTATTTTCCAAAATGGCCTAAATAGGTAAGTGTTGTATTGTTGCAGGTTTCAGATCATCCTTTTCAACGTTTTGGGCAAACGCAGAAAAATTAAAAATAGATCAATGTGTAGTATGTTGGCTAGATTAGTATCAGTCAACCCCCTGCCCCATATAAAAAAACCTGGGCATTCTTGGCTATGAAGAATCTCGTATTTGAGAAATCCCAAATCATATTTCATGACAATTGGCATCTGTCAAATTCACAGTCCTATTTTCCTTAAAAAAGAAACTGTAAAGTAAAACCTTATAACAATACAGGTGATTGAAAGTATTTAATTTTTATTCAATTGTTTTTCCAGTTAGAACCTTTCACAGGAACTTGGAAATAATAATTTATACCCGAGATTCACAATAAATTACTTGAGAAAAATCTAACCCATATTCTGTTGATAAAACCCTTTGCTCGAGATTATTGCCATTTTCATTTTCCGTAACAAACAAGTGATGTCAAACTCAAAGTCGGGAAGCACACAGAAGAGCTAGAAGAGACCGTTTTCTTCTTTCCACACTCAAATTAAACAGACTATATTTTTATTCGCGCCAAGGGCCCCATATCCCATTTTTCCTTGCAGTCTTTAATGCATCAGGATCGCTTTTCTTGTACAGTGGCCTTACAGAAGACCTCCTATAATCATTCACCCTCATCTGCATCTTAGTAACGACATCCGGGAGCTTTGCAGACAGTTCGTCGCGTTCTTCTGGGTCAGCGGATATGTTATAAAGCGCAACAACAACTTTGTCAACCGCGTCCTGAAAGACAAAAGGGTATGCCATGTTCGATATAATGTCCAGTTTTTTATTACGCATTCTGTCAAAAAAATAAAGTAATCAGGAGACTTAGGCCAAGCTTCGAATTTTCACGCGACGAACTTAAGTTCATGAAAAGTTCGACGTCTGGCTTAGTTAAGTTCGTCTAAACGAGTTTGGCTTGTCCAACACGTTCTCGTGATAATCGTCGGACTAAACTGATAAATTTACTAAAACCTAATAAATTAAACATTTGTATGATAATGTATATTTAGCCTCGTTCGGAAGAAAATTTATCAAAATTGCTTTTTGGTTTGATTCAGTTCATTGGTTCGACGCGTCCTAAGTTTGACGTCTGACTCAACAGACGATCTTAACTTAATTTAGGTCGACNAACGACATCCGGGAGCTTTGCAGACAGTTCGTCGCGTTCTTCTGGGTCAGCGGATATGTTATAAAGCGCAACAACAACTTTGTCAACCGCGTCCTGAAAGACAAAAGGGTATGCCATGTTCGATATAATGTCCAGTTTTTTATTACGCATTCTGTCAAAAAAATAAAGTAATCAGGAGACTTAGGCCAAGCTTCGAATTTTCACGCGACGAACTTAAGTTCATGAAAAGTTCGACGTCTGGCTTAGTTAAGTTCGTCTAAACGAGTTTGGCTTGTCCAACACGTTCTCGTGATAATCGTCGGACTAAACTGATAAATTTACTAAAACCTAATAAATTAAACATTTGTATGATAATGTATATTTAGCCTCGTTCGGAAGAAAATTTATCAAAATTGCTTTTTGGTTTGATTCAGTTCATTGGTTCGACGCGTCCTAAGTTTGACGTCTGACTCAACAGACGATCTTAACTTAATTTAGGTCGACCCAAATTAGAATTGGGTTCGTCCCATGAAAAGTTCGACATTTGGCCTCGGCCTTTAGACACTCAAGATTATTGTCCTCATTGCTTATGTACTGATACGTTATTTTGTCCTACCACATTCGGGAGTTCTAACACTGCATCCAAAGGTAATTCCTTGTCTGGTTTACCACCAATCTCGGGTGGCTTAAACCACGTGACATTTGGCACCTGCATCAAGAGCTTCATTTCGCCCATCCTGAGAGCGATCCCTGTGTAACCACCTAGGATACCGGGTCCAGGAGGCACCTCTCCAGGCTCGTCGATGTTAAGTAGTATTTCAGTGCGCGGGGAAGGTTTCCCCAACGAAATTGTTTCCCACACATCAAAGCCATCAAGTGGAATAGGACTTTCTTGGTTTTCTGATACTCCTACGAGAAAAGTAAGTGCTTTGAGATCTACGTTTGAACAAGAAAACACAACCTGACCTCTTGTTTTAGTGCAGCGAAAACATACTAACAGAGGATACGTTCCGCTGGGATGATCCGGATCAGGATCAGTGATCCAACATCTCTCGGATCATAGCTATACATCAAACGAACCAACGAATCCACCCTGGGAAAAGATTCATCGGATCATTGATTTACCATGATCCGAGAGGTTTCAGATCAATGATCCTAATGAGGACCATCCCAAAGAAACGCACTCAGGATGTATCCTTTAACGTTATAGCTTCTTACCAGCGAGTCCCAAAATGGTGGGATACCAATCTGTCACGTGCAACAGTTCCTTGCAAGTCACCCCCTTTCTTGCCAGTCGATTTCCGTGCACGAATCCAATTCCTCGTACCCCTCCCTCCCACAGTGTCATTTTTTCTCCTCTAAGAGGCCAATTGTATCCTCCGTAATAAGGGAGGCCTCCGTTATCGGTGCTGAAAATAAGGAGGGTGTTGTTCCATAACCTGCAAAAGTAGAATTTTAGAACTTAGATCTTTTCACAGATTAAAGAGGCGAATGCTTTGTCCCACGCTTCTTGTGGCGTGACGATGGTGACATCTTTCTCGGGAAACGTAAGGTTTGTCAACAGAAGACACTCTGACATTGGGCATCAAAAAGCAAATTATTCTGTCCTGGGCAGTTATGGATGCCATACAGATAAGTGTAGAAAGAGCACAACAGCCGAATGCATATTCGTGGTGATATTGTTGCGCGGAATGTTCTGGTGAATAGACCATGGCAAAGGTGTATCGTTTCGATAATACTCTTGTTTGGTGGGTCAACTGTTAACTTTCCTCCTCAAATGATCTCTAGCTCTTTTAATGTATTGATAGGAGAGCACCTGACTTTTATCCCTATATGTGATATCCGGAGGGCGCTCAGGCATAATGAGGACGGGGGAAGAGGTTAAGAATGAGACCAAATTATAACTCCGCCAAGAAATCCTTATCAACGTAGCTTTATTCTGTAGATGAAAAAGTCAAACGCAGTTTGACTTTCATTTATGACCCTCAGAAGTCCTTACAAAATCTTTCAGACCATAATAGTCACCCAGTCCTTCCTTTTCACCCCTTTCTTCGGTTACTTTTACACCCGAGTACTCCACGCCCCGCCTACCCGCCCTCATGCTGTACATGTTATGTTAGAGTTCAACTGACCCCGCTTTCCTGAACGCGTCTGTTATATTCCCAACTGCCTCGTCCAAAATGTCCGCCATGGCTGCATGAACTCGTCTCGTCTTGTTCGTTATAAAGTCATACTTTTTTATGTATTTTTCCGGTGCTTGGATGGGTGCATGAACGTTTTGAAAAGCCATGTGCATGAATAATGGCTGAGATGAGTCGTGAGCTTGTAAGATTTTTTCCACTCGCTGGGAAGGAAATAAGAATGAATCGATCAGGTTTTGGTGACCGCCTCCGTAAAACAAACAAGTTGTTCATGTTTTACAACCTACGATGAATTGCAGTATTTTAAAGCAATTATACTTTCATGGATTCCAACTAAACGCGTGTTTGAAAGGCGCTACAAAGCAATGTGTCAATTTTTGACATTTCAAATTGAGATGGCACCGGCCATAATCTAAAATTCCCTTAAATTTGCTTTTGAATGCATTTAACTAAAAATGAGCTCAATCGCCTGACTTTCTTTCGATCTGAATTGCAATCAGCTTGTCTATGAAACGGGTTCAGAGCCAACTTAATTATTTTCCCGCTGCACAATTTTCAAAAATTGGAAAATGGCGCCAACTTGCTGACATTTTCTCCAGGACGTTAAGTTATTTTGTTAGTAAGTATAAAGACACTAAAGACAGGGCTGCGTTTTACTCACGTCCACATAGGCGTTAGTAGCGTACGTTCCATTTAAGTCGAAGACTGGTTCTAAGTTATCCCGAAAGTCTACAACACCATCACGTGAGTGATCAAAATGATCCTCAGCTCCGTCCCAGAATCCGTAGGCGGTGTCAAAACCTCTTTTCGTAGGAACATAAGGCCACTTGTAGAAACCAAGATGCCACTTGCCTACCAAGTGAGTGGAATACCCTGCAAAAGTGAAATTTTCACGTCGCAGTCATGTAGTGACGGCAAAGCAGTGTACAAAAAAGCGTGATGCAAGTGCGGAGTTGCTGTTTTGCTAATCTAAACCTATTGCTTTTTTGCCGTTCTCGTTGACGTCGCCGTCGTCGTTGCTTTTAAGCAATCAACACGGTGACCGCAGCCAAAATCTCACTTACAAAGCAAAATACAACGAGAAATCAAAGAACTACTGCAAAGCTGATNGTCTACAACACCATCACGTGAGTGATCAAAATGATCCTCAGCTCCGTCCCAGAATCCGTAGGCGGTGTCAAAACCTCTTTTCGTAGGAACATAAGGCCACTTGTAGAAACCAAGATGCCACTTGCCTACCAAGTGAGTGGAATACCCTGCAAAAGTGAAATTTTCACGTCGCAGTCATGTAGTGACGGCAAAGCAGTGTACAAAAAAGCGTGATGCAAGTGCGGAGTTGCTGTTTTGCTAATCTAAACCTATTGCTTTTTTGCCGTTCTCGTTGACGTCGCCGTCGTCGTTGCTTTTAAGCAATCAACACGGTGACCGCAGCCAAAATCTCACTTACAAAGCAAAATACAACGAGAAATCAAAGAACTACTGCAAAGCTGATACAACATGAGCAATATTTCGGCTGGCCAGACCAGCCCTCATCGTCTGAGTCTTTACTTATAAAGTGCATTTGCGTTGAGAAATTGTTTCTTTCAGTCAGTGACACAGGCGGGTCGAAAGAAAAAATCCGAGTACTCCCAAACGAGTAGACAAACCTGTGAGCTCCTATGACCCTCTGCTTACTTGTTCAGATACTCTCTCTACAAGTGCTTTTGCGTTCTTATAAACTTTTTCATCTTGATAATTCTAACTAGGCCAAGTTTCCAAAGGCAAGAAAACTTTCCTTAAGTTGAATTCTTTGAGCGAGAGCATTTACTTACTCACGTAAAAATTACGTGACAGTGGAAATCCACCCTAAGACATGTAACCTTAACACGGCCAGTTTACCAATTTATATTATACCAAATCTGAATGTTGATCAAGGACTCTGTTTATTTGCTTTTCGTTAATCAGCTCTTACCAACTTCCTTTAGTTTCTGCGGCAACAGATCAAAGTCCAGTGGCAGTCCATACGGGTCCTCGGGGTGAATAACATCATGTTGAAGACCTGGTGACAAAAAAAAGCAAGTACGGGCGACAGTAGCAAAGATGAAGCCAGGGGCACCCAACGGCGGTTTCCTCCTAAAGTACATTGAAAACACTTTTTAGGCTATCCAGAGTCCTTTTAGATCTCTATAAATGCATCCTAGGCAGCCCTATAAAAAATATCTGTTCTGTCATCCTAGGGCAACTTGAGTCTTTTCGAAATTACAAGGGCTTGAGTGTTATTTTCGCGAAAATTTTAGAAGCAATTTGACGTATTACGAAAGTGAGACATTTTCTGATTCCTCTCTCCATCACATTTTTGAATCCGAAAATTTTAGGTTTCCTTTTTTGTACAAAAAATAGCCTAACTTGGGAAGTGAAATGTGAAAATTAAACTTCAGAAAATCGTAGGGAATTTATTAGATAAGCTTCGAAAATTGTACATGAATGGAACGGTCATCTAGGACTTTTTAGCCCCCCTCAGGTAATAGAAAATTCCAGGCAATATTTGCTTCTCCGAACAGTTATTTTACAGAAAACAATCGTTGGGTACCCCTGTGAAGCCAGCCTGTTATCTCAAACAACATGCATTTGACTGACTGTGTATTTAGTATATATTCAGACTTTTCGTTTGAGCACGGAGAATCTTTTCTCCGGTTTGGCCTACCGTCCTCACGTATCCGGAGAAAACGTCACCGAAAATGCATCTTTTCATAAACGCTCTCCAGAGTGCGCCGTAAACGATTACGTCACGGCGTTGGATACCAGTGTAAATGCGCATGTTTTCTTCAAAGACGGAACCGTTTTCAGTCACTTTTGTGTATTCTTGTAGATGGACAAAAACCGAGAAAAAGTCTCTGTTTTACAATTACGTGTAAACAGACCAAGTCACACCAATTCAATGACAGAACGCAAGTCAATCAATCAACATTTCAATAAATCAATAACCGTTAATCCTTTTCTGTCTTTTCTACTCACGTATTGTCTCGGGGTCTTTGAACTAAGCTTGAAGGTCTTTCAAAATACGCACGTATTCAGGTATTTTATCTTCTTTATGAATTAAACTTATCTTTACTCATGTCCCAGAGTGACCGTAGGCGACGACGGTTTCTATTAAAAAATGGTCGTTTGTAAGTAGAGGGCCACCCTAATCAGACCCTTTCACAGTTTTTTCAACTTTTGACATGGACCAGTTAGGCCGAAAATCCATGGACACCACTGGAAAGAGCACATTAAAATTAGTGCCAAATTTGAAAGTGATACATCTTAAGCGAGCGAAGATATAACTCTGCGAAGTTGCGAAAATTTACAGACGTTTGTATGTCGGGGAGGGGGGGCAAGTTTGAGCACCCACCATAATACAAACGTCCGACAGGACTTTGAGTTGCCTGCGTGCAGACGTCTCCTATTTGTTTTGTTGCAAAAAAGGAAATAGGAGACGTCTGCACGCAGGCAAGACTTTGAGGAGCTATACTTCGTTCGTTTTCAACAATCGCCTTCAAACGTGGCAGTTTTACTGATTTCCAGTGGAGACGACGGACTTTCCCCAACTTGTCCGCCATGTTTTCAAAAAGCTGGAAAAAAAACTGTGGAAAGGTCTGTTCACTGGTTTCGTGTTATTTCGCTTTTTTGTGGTACCCATCTAAATGTTGAGCACAGACAAAGAGATCACATAACAATGACATCGGACGAAAAATCACTTGATATAGCATTCTTGTAAACTGGCGTTTCCCCTATATGCAGGGATTTTTGTAGATATGAACCCCAGTACTATTAAGTCATTGTAATCAGTCATCATGCGAAAGGTGATTATTCAAATCAGTTTACATACAGTTATTGTTTGGCCCTCCTCAAGTGTACGAAGCACGCGTTTCTGTTTATCAGGATCTATGTAGCCAGCAGGGAAGACGTTAGCCTCTATCATGCTCCCCGGGGTTGGGTTGGGGGTGGGGGCGGTGGGGGTACTTGGGCTAATGTTTGCTGGTATGTGCCGCTAGCCTCTCAGAGCCCCTACCCCATTATAGTCTATTTTTTGGCCAATTATAGACCCCATCTTAGTCACTTTTTGGAAAATATAATTTTTGCGATCCCAACTTAGTCACTTTCTATATATGCATCTACCTTATCATGTGGTTTCAAGCGGCGGAATGTGATGCGGTCAATGCGAGCTTATTGTTAAATTTAATGAACAACAACTTCCTGATTTTGTTACCGAGAATCTTCCCATTTTGAATCCCTACTTACCACAAAAATCCGAAAATTTGCGACCCCATTATAGTCACTCCAGCCGTGAAAATGCGACCCCATCCAGTGTCACATCCCTATTAGCCTCTTGTAAGGGAGTACCCCCCCCCCCCCCACCATTATAGTCACTCCAGCCGTGAAAATGCGACCCCATCCAGTGTCACATCCCTATTAGCCTCTTGTAAGGGAGTACCCCACCCCCCCCGGGTCATGCTCCTATTTTGCCAGCGCTCGTTCAGGGTATACGTGAAACCGGGTAGTGGTAAAACCCCGCACATCAAAATTTAGTTATGGCCGGTACATCAGTGAAACTGTACTAAAAACTAAGGTGAATTTTTCTTGTTAAGACAATTACTTCTCTGAAAACTACTTTAATAGTACAGTTGTTACTACAAGAGAAGTTTCGTTTTTGAAAGAACGCTCATCAGAAAGGTTAATTTATATGGTAATTTAGAAAATGAATTTATTTAGTCTCCAAAATAAACTTACCAATCGAGATGGCATAAGAGATCAGGTAAAGATATATTTCATTATTTATTTGTAAAATACACTCGGTTTACTTTGTAAATATAACAATGACCACATCGAAGAAACGCTAGCTTTATAAAACGTGCCCATAAAGAGAATGCAAAGGCTACACTATGCACTCTATTTTAAAAAGAAAATCAATTTTGTCTACAGAGATGAGGCGAGTAAGAAAGCTTATATTAAGCTGTAGCCCGCAAAACAATAATTTAAAAAATATTTTCAGGAGCCATGTAATACAATGGAAGTCTTATTCTCTTAAGGCTTTCCTTTTCTTAAACTTTGGACAGAGGGAGATGGACAGAAATTAAACAGAACAGTTGGAGGACAAAGCATAATCCGGCTGCACATCCTCTGGTAACGCAATAATAAAAAGACTTTACTGCCTCTGCTCGCCTAGATTATTTCCTAGGACCATTATATATGATGACTCCATATGAAGCCATGCTATTTAGCATCTTATCAGTAAACTCGGCCGTTTCTTTGCAGTGTTAAAAAAGTCCTTTTTGATTTGTTACAGTGTCAGCTAAAATAATGAATGGAATAAACTGAATACAATTTTAAAAACAAAGTCATGTAAATTGGAGCTGAATTCCTTTTTTATTATTATTCCCTGAGTTACGTTATTTGAAATACTCACCGATAAGACAAATAAAACATTTCCCATGATAAAAATGGAACCCACCCGGGTACCGTGATTTCGCCTGCGAGCCCCTTTTAATCCCCTGCCTCTAAACATTGTGTCCCGACTGACTGCAAGAACAACTACCTTCCATACCTGTGTGAATGGGGTATCTTCCAGTCATCAAAGCTCCTCGAGTGGGTGTACACACCGGCTGTACATAATAATTGTCCAATATGACTCCGTCTTTAGCCAACTTGTCAATGTGGGGAGTTTGTATCTTTGGATTATGGAACCCGACATCATACCAGCCAAGGTCATCTGCCAGCATTAACAGGATATTCGGTAGTTTGGAAGATCCTATGCCCTTGGTAAAACGTAATGCACACGAAATCGCGAAGAACAGCGCGAAATGTGACATCCACATAGCGGTATTCTAAGAAAGACAGTAGTATATAATATCTCTCGTGCAAACGATGAATTTTACCCGAATTTTTGATTCTTGACAGACAAACGACAGTTCGTCTCTATCACCCGGTCCCATCAGCAGGTGCGCGCATCTGTCACGCAACCTTGTTTTGGGATTTAGGTGACTGGTGACTGCAGTATCCTGTTCGAGAAATGGAGAGCCTAGGAAAAAGAGCGGAAGAGAGGAGGAGGAAGGGAGAAGTGTTGTTTTGAGTATTGCTAATGTTTATGGATTCCAGCAACTCCTTTCAGAATAGAAAGGGATAACAAATTGGTCCTTGATCGTCCTTGTCAGTCAAACAAGCATACTGTCAATTAACCAATGGACCCAACTTTCTATTGTTTAAACCAAGCGGGATGTTGTATGAACCCCAGAAAAGCTTGTAAATCACCGCGTGCTTTATTTCGCCGTTAAACCAACAGAAATTGCGTCTTTTAACTAATGCATAGTATTTTCGGGTTGAATATGGTTTATATTAACGTGATCGAGTTGAGTCTTCTCTACAATTATCAAGTGTAGCGTTTGGACTGTTTTACTGTGTCTACCTAGCCGTTGTTTTGTCCACCCTTACAGTTTGCTTAGCCTGCGTAGCAGGCGCTTGAAAGAATTGAATGGGCGCTGTCTCCCTCGCGCGCCCCGTTCTTTCTTGAGCCCATTACTTCTAAGCGCCTGCTACGCAGGCCGTACTACAGTTTTCTTAATTTGATTAACCTATCAATATCTTCTGGAACGATTCCACAGCACCCCTGTGCGAGACTACCATCCTGACAATTCACTGGAGAAGCTTTGGAGGATGGTACACCATCTTGCCCCAGCCGTACAATGGCGTAGTTGCGACGAGGATAGCAGCTATCCATACGAGTGCAGTAGAGTCGTGACATTTTCTTGCTTGAGAAAAATCTGATCTGTAGCGCTAGCATGGTTTAACTACCCTAATATATCGTTTAAAGGCGATAAATCCCATATTCAGGGCAGAAACAACTCCTAACGAAGCTCACACCACTTATCGCTAAACCGGGATCCAAGTCCCTGTATATGGGTTTGTTACCCAGGGCCGGGTTTTTCAAAACAGGGTTAAGATAACCTGGGGTTAGTGCGAAATTTGAATTCAGATATGAAAGCTCAAAAGCAAATTCAGAATTATTCTTTTTGCCTAGAATTTGATGATTGGATGCTCTGAAAAGAATAGAGAAAATAATCCGGGAAAATGCTTTTGAGCAAAAGAAAAAGAAACCCAGGTTAAAATTTAACCCTGGGTTAGTGCTAATCGGCCTTCGAACAACTGGGCCCAGAAGGGTATGTTTATCGATGCCATAGAAAGGTCAGTCAATGCCAGGTCGTAGGTGAATAAATTCGTTAAGCTCTTGGGTGTGGATTCGTTATGGACAACATAGACGACTAGTAAGTTGTCCAGGATGGACGTTAGGCAAATAAGAATGGACAAGGCCACTTCCAAACCCCTCAAGTACAATGCGGGAATGACTTAGGGGATCATGAGAATTTGCCAAGATGGAGAATTGTTCTCCATATTATATCACTAAAGCCTGCGAAAAAGACAAAATTCCAACCTAAACGTTAGCAATTGCTTCAAAAGTATCAACAGTGAAGCAATATCAATTTGAAGCAGAGTTGGGATTGTAAAATGGAAGAAAGCGGAGCTATGATCTCCGTCAAAGTTCTTGGGACACTTTCGCGTCTTCTCGTCCCCAATGTTAGTGTACACGATCTGGTGACCGATCTGGTGACGAATAAACATTAATGGTTTTGTTTAATGGCGTTATTGAGAAATAAACTGATTTCATTGAAGATTTAATTTATTCTAATTTGTACATTGCCTTGTCCAATTTCAAATTTGGCGAAATTCTTTTTTAGTATGTGTAATCAAATGGTGACGAGTGAAATTGGGGAAATTATTAGGATTTGGACGAAACGCAAGTATAATTATTCCATAATTTCACGAGTATACCATTTGACTACCTATTAATATCATGGGTGACGAATTATGTTAGCAATCTTGGATTTTTGACATGTTTATCCTGGATCGTATCGATCGAGAACTCCACTCTCTCAAATGTTTAGACCTTAAATTTGTCTTGTAAAGTTCAGAATTTTTCAGACTTTTTTGGCAAAATACCTGTTAGAGTCCTTCTTGATGTTCTCTTGTGTGTTCAGGTTTTCTAAAGCGTCTTTTTGTGCCCTGACATCTTCATTCAAGGCATTTTAAAACTTCGTCGCCATCTTGACACTGAGAGGTACGGAAGGTTGCCATGGCAATTTTGTAATTTCACATGTGAAATTACAAATTAACGCTGAAATGATATTATCCATGTAATACTGCATTTATATTTAGGTTGTTGTATTTTTGAATATTGTATTACAAGTTTTTTTTTTAACCCAAACCGTATAAACAAAAACACCATATATGTTATGAATGCAAACTGGTCAAATCACTCTGTTCCGAAACTAGCCTGTTCCAGGCGTTCAGATAGTGGGGAGCGGTGCGAAGTAAAAAGGAGCGCGAAAAAATAAAAGCGAGGGAGGAGGAGAGGTGAGAGAGGGAACGCCTGTTAGATTTGTTTTAAATAGACTCTTCCGCCCAGTCAGACCGCATCAGCTGTAGGTGGTCTTCACTTGTCAATCAAGACTGGTGTTACAGCCCGATGCATTTATTATTTTTCTTGCGAATAAATCGAAGTTTGTCAGATCAAAAATTAATATTATGTATACATAATCTTACTAAAAACCCAATGTAAGACTTTCAGACAATAGAAGGCGGGAGAAGTATTCATGTATAATGAATTTATTTACGGCTTTAAAACATGATTTCAGCGTGTACGTGACAAAAAATTATGAATGAAGTGACAAACAAATATCGCTCATTTCGATAGAAAGCCGTTTCAATACAGATCGTTAACTCAGGCAATGAAAATACACAACAATTGAAGGGAAAATTTACTATTCGGTGATTGAGTGGACCTCGTCAATAGCGATAGCTGCAACTTGCTTTCCAAGCTTTCCTTTTTGAAGTCCTTTTGTCCATTCATTAGACAACCACGATTTGGCACTTCAGTAAACAATTTCACAGCTTCCACTTTTAACGGTTTCATCCATATCTTCTCCCATCATTGCCGCCGCTACTCCGATTTTGTTCAAATATTCCACTTGGTCTTCCATGATGGTAATCAACGGAGTTACCACAACAATCGTAAATGGCATTCTATCCTGCCTTCATTCCAACACACACTTTATTCGAGTAAAAAGCTGGAAAATAAGAATTTTTCCAAAGCCAGTCGATGAGAAATTGCTAAGACATCTATCCTACCGACTACGTGTTTTAAACAGTTTCTTTGCTCTTCGCTTTTAGCCTCTACGTTTGGAAAGTCACTCAGCGCTGTGTTTGTTGCGAGTTTGAATTCTGCGTGACGGCACGTAGGGTCTGTCATAACGGCCATATCGCATTTCTCGCTGTGATCGAAGACGCTCCACTGTTGACAAAAACTGTCAAAATCAACCAATCAGAGGGTATACCAGGATCTGGTATACCGGAACGCACTTTTGTTAAAAATTCTTACAAGCGTTCCCGCACCTCTCTCCCCAGTCCCCCTCTACTTTTCATCGCTTTCTTTACTCTGCACCGCTCTCCACTATCTGAACGCTTGGAACAGGCTATTCCGAAACGTAATTTTCTATCAAGAATTAGCGGAAGATAAAAAGCACCTAGTAAATAATCCAGCACTAACGCGAACGAATAGACATCAATGGTTTTGTTTAATGGCGTTATCGAGAAATAAACTGAATTTTATTAACCTCATGCAGTTGCTCTTTCCCAAAACTAGTCTCTTACCTTGTAAAGATGATCGTTCTATTTAATGTATATTATTTGATAATAAACTGATAATGTAAATTGTAAAGACTTACAAATCATCATGATTTCGAAATTGATTGGAAAACATTACATTCCAACCGATAATTCGACCATAAGTCACCTTTAATATGTCAAGGAAGAGCACTGCGTTACTTTTCTCATTTTTATTTCTTTCTTGTAAATAACTTCTAAAAATCTTAGTTATGACTTTCTTGGTGTCCATAGTAGAGCAATTACCAGTTAAAAAAGTCAGAAAATTAGAGGTTGTTTATTTGGAAAGTTAATCAGGCGTGTGTGGCACCAAAGGATATGTGTTTTGATCTGTTTCGAGATAGGACACGGTTTGCGTCTCAATTGGGTCTGGATTTTAGGGGACGTAACTTGAGACGTCTCTGATGCTGCGCCTTGATTAATTTATAGCCTCAGGCCCGGTTCAGACGCCGCTCCACTTATGTGCCGAACCTAACTGAGGTATTAAGTACGGCAAAAGAGCGGCGTCTGAATCAGTTTGGTACGGCAGTTTTAATTTGGTGCGGCAAAAATCTTAAGTTCGACAGGCTGTCGCATTATTCGACATTGGAGCGGCAGGTGATTCATACGGCGTTCCTCTCATGTGCCGAATCAAATGCGTACGTTATGATAATTTATAAATCTTCCCATAAGTCCCTCGGAGTCTCCCTACATGAAATAAAGATTAGGTTCGACACACGGTGCGCCGTCTGAATCAGATGTCACGCCAATGTCGCTCCAAAGTCGAACCAAACTCAGTTAGGTTCGGCACATGAGTGGAGCGGCGTCTGAACCGGGCCTCAGTCTCTTCGTTATGGACGCCCATTCTCATCCCAACTCTCAAACCTTTAAAGGAAAAAGATAATTCGTTGTTATTATCGAGATTTTCGAAGCATATGGATAAAGTTACAGATTTACAGTCTGTAATTGAAGCGAATTATCCAGAATTAACGCCAGGTTCAAGGAATCATTTATTCGAGGGGTTGCAGATTTCCGACTGTACATTCAGATTCTCATAAAATACAACAGCATAAGAGGTAATAACTTTATACATGTAGTTATGCCGCAGGCCGACCGCAAGCCCCTGCCTGACAGATTTTCGGGGAC